ATGATCTGAGGTGGAGCTGAGGCAGTGACGCTAGCACTGGGGAGTGGCTACAAATACTGATTATCATTAGCAGAGAGAATTGACTGCACAATAAATGTAATGCACTTAAATCATCCTGAAACCATCTCTCCCTCCCCACCAGTCCGTGGAAAAATCATCTTCCATGAAACCGGTCCCTGGTGCCAAAAAGGGTGGGGACCACTGCTGTAGCAGAAGAAATAATTTCTAGTGTTCTACTGCTTTGTTTTATTAGAGAGAGGCATCACTTTGACTCAACTGCCTAATGAATTTTAGAATAAGCTATTTCCTTCCTCCTTTTGCAATATCTCTTCTGCTATTAATTCTGGGAACCTATCAGTTGTATTTTCTTCCTAAAGGGCTGATTTTAGATTACAATGGTTAGATAAAAACAAACAAATTATGTACTTTCTTATAGGAATGGTTTGTTCCTGGTAACCATATAACAACATAACCACTATGTATACCAGATTAATTTGACTGTAAATGTATTTAACTTCCATTCCAGACTCCATGTACAATCAGTGTTCAGTTTATTGCTTTGGTAACAAGAGCAGCAGCTCATATCTAACCAAAATTAGAAAGAACTCTGCCAATCTAAGTTCTGATCTTCCCCCTCTCCCTACCTTCAGATTAGGCTGTTTCAACACATTTTGGCAATAAATATTCAGCACTTTGCAAGGGAATCTGAGATCATGAGAAAGAGCTTCTCTGATATGGAGCAAGGAAAGCTCACAATACCTCATAACATAGAAACAAATATTCCTCACAATTGATCCTCTGCATTTATTTGCTCTTTGTATTAGTTATCTATTGATGCATAACAAAGCATTTCAAACTTAGCAGCTTAAAACAACAATAAGCACTGTTTCACTCAATTGGTATAGGTCAGGAAGTTGGGGAGAGCTTGGCTGTGTGATTTTGGCTCAGAGTGTCTCAATCTGGTTGCATTCAAGATGTTGCAAGGGCTGCAGTCGTCAAAAAGTCTCTCTGAGGTTGGGGAAATCTAAGATGGCTCTCTTACATGGCTGGCAAATTGGACTTGGTTGTTGGCAGAAGGCCTCAGCTCCTCCTATGTTAATCCTATAGCCTTGCATGTCCTCGTAACATTGTGGTTGGCTTCCCCCAGAGTAAGTGATCGAAGAGAGAACAAAGCAGGCCGGGCGCGGTGGCTCACGCCTGTAATCCTAGCTCTCTGGGAGGCCGAGGCGGGTGGATTGCTCAAGGTTGGGAGTTCGAAACCAGCCTGAGCAAGAGCAAGACCCCGTCTCTACTATAAATAGAAAGAAACTAATTGGCCAACTAATATATATAGAAAAAATTAGCTGGGCATGGTGGCACATGCCTGTAGTCCCAGCTACTTGGGAGGCTGAGACAGAAGAATCGCTTGAGCCCAGGAGTTTGAGGTTGCTGTGAGCTAGGCTGACGCCACGGCACTCACTCTAGCCTAGGCAACAAAGCGAAACTCTGTCTCAAAAAAAAAGAGAGAACAAAGCAGAAGCTACAATGTCTTTCATGACCTATAACCTCAGAAGTTACATACCATCATTTCTGCAAAATCCTATTGGTAACACAGGTCAATGGGGGATGAGTATTCAAGGGTATAAATACCAGGAAGCAGGATCATTGGGGGTCATCACAGAGGCTAGCTACCACATTCATCACGCTACTTTCCATCATACGGGAAACAAATATTGCTTGAATAAGGAATGTGACCACTTTAGAAAAGGGATATTCCCATTATTGAATTTACATTATTTTTTTACACATTAGACTTGTGAAATATTGTTAGTGTCAATGATCACTAAAAGTTCGATCATCTCTGGGCACAGTGAAAAAATTCTTCTTGTAGACAACTCTTGTCTCTGTACTATGCCAGGTAGTTTGCTTTTCCCTATATTCTTTGATGCACTCCTACGGGTACTACTTTATGAGACCTTCCATTCAGATTTAAAGCAAGAGCTTTGACTGTTCTGAGAAGTAACTGCTGAATTATTTTAAGTATGAGAAAGGCTAGGTCCCACTTTCATTTTATTAGGATCATTCTGCTGCCTGTGTACAGGATGGACTGATGGTCGGGAGACAGAGAGACCTGTTTAGAGGCTATTTCAAGTAGTCCCCTTTGTCACAGATAAAGTTTTATAACTCATGGTATTTGCTGTGATTCCTCATTAACTAACCTGTAACTCAACAAACTAATCTCTCCTAAGCAGTGGTGTGCTGGTAAATGTTTAACAATCAGTTCTCAGGGAAAAGCAAAGCCAAGCCTGAATTTGTAACATTTACCAATTTCTGGGACATAAGCACTTCCAATTTCAAGCTACCAACATGATGTCACTGAATAGGGAATTAGGAGGATAAGTATACAATTGGTCCTTGTGGCTAGTACCTGGCTGGAGCCAGGTGGGCTCCAGCACTCCACTGCTACCTTTAAGCTCTTAAAGCAGCAGCAGCCAGAGGTTAAAAGTTCAGGAATGCAAGGGACCAGATGAGTCTAGGCCCTTGTCCACATGGCCAGCAGGGGTGAAGACAGGTTTCCAAGGCACCTGGCTCACCCTGGAGGTGGCCAGGACCTGGGGGTCCTCCCTACCTGCAGCAGCCCCCTCGTGCTAAAACCCCCAGCTGGATCTTCCATACTACAAGATTTTCTTCTGAGTGAGGGCAAGAAAGGGGGCCTAAGGAGAGAGACAAAAATTATTTAAGTCTTTAAGTAGTTGTTTAGATTAATATTTATTAGATGTATCCTTTTAAACTGTTGAAGAGTGAATTTTGGAGCAAGGCCACTAGATACAGTGCAGTTAAAGTATCAATAACATCTTTTCTTGTAATAAAAAGCTATAACCTTTTTTAATAAAGCAAAATCCTGGAGATATGAATATATAACCTATCTTTCTAAAAAGATTTTGTTGAATAAGGACTACCCCAAAATCATGATTACTAGACTCTAACAGTCCCATTCATATGGGGTTTTTCAAAGTAAGAAAAAATGTTCTTTCCTTCTCATCCACATCTTTCTTCCCCCAAATTTGCTGAATACATTTCTTTTATAGAACAGTCTGAAAAGTGGGCATATTTCCAAACAAAATACAATCAACCCAATTCTCCCCATTTATTAATGGGATTTGGATATGAATACCAGGCAGGCTATAGATGTGCTTTTTCTCCCCAAGTTCCACAGTTCTGCAGTGAGGGTTCATGGGTCTTGCAAGCACTGACAAAGAACCCTCTTGGGCTGGAGGGTGGTGAGACAAGTACAGGACAATGGCCCTCACCTGGGACTTCAGTGTCAGGGGAAGGAAGCAAGCATGGAGAGAAAGTGCCCCCTTAGGCTAATCTGTTAGTATGCTTTAGGATTGAAAATATCACTAACCACATGGAAATTGAACAACTAATTAAGATCCCACCTAGCCCTGTGGTTTTGTGACTTTGATTTATAACTTTTTTTTTTTTTTTATGACTGCAGTGGTGCAATCATAGCTCACTGCAGCCTCAAACTCCTGGGCTCAAGTGATCCTCCTGCCTCAGCCTCCTGAGTAGCTGGCTCTATAAACACATACCACTGTGCCTGACTTGATTTATAACTCTTCTGCAGGGACTTTTTCCTTTTTAGTTTTTCAGGACCGAAGACCTGACACAAATTCTTTAAAATTCCTCCTAAAATAGTTATATTTTGGAGATAACTTAGACTAAGTTTTTATGCATTTTAAATGCATAAAAGAGATAGAGAAGGAAGCAAAAGCAAAAATAGGACCAATGACTGCACGTTTCCTCAAGATTAGACTCGGGCTATGCATTGTTAGTGGAAATACCACAGAAGCAAGATTGTAGCCTTCTCATTGCATTCTATCAGGTGTATGATACTACTTTGTCTCATTATTGGTGATAAATTTGATCAGTTAATGTTATGCCTGCCAAGTTCACCCACTATAATTATTTTCCCCTCTAAAATTAATAAGCCACTTTGTAGTTAGAGACAAAGTAAATATCCTGTTTCTCAACAGTACTTCACCAAATAGTTTATCATTTTTTTCTATACTTATTACTTGGTATTTTATTATAAGAGCTTTCCTTTCTTCCCCATTTATATCAATATGCACACATGGATTTTTATTTTATTTAATGAGTTATAACCCATTACTATTATTTTGATGTTCAAATTGTCCCAGATTTGGCCAGTGGGGGTTCCTTCAAGCTAGCTCCTGTATAATTTGATAAGCTCCCATGATTCTCAAACATTTCCTCCTTTTCTTGCAGAAAAATATGTGCTGAGCTCATCTTGTACTTTATCTCAGTATTAGAAGCAGTCTTTTCTCCAAGGAGCTCTAGGTAGGGTGTACTTTTTAGAACAGGTCTTGGATAATGGTTGCAAATAACATGTATTTCTCACTTCTGGTTGGTAAATCTGACTCTTGTGAATTTGGTTAGCAAGATTTCCCTATTTAGTCCCCCTCAGTGAACCTGAAGAAGTGAGGGGCAGACTCTCGATTGTTGTGCTGTAGTGTAACCAGCTGAGGACGTCCGGCTTGAGTAGCTTCTGATTTCCAGTGCAACATACGGCTCTGCCATCTAACGACAGCTACCACAGAGCCATGGGTTTCAGTGAGAAGTGTATATAAGAACCGTCCTTAGACTGCTGTGATCCAAAACTACAAGCTCATCACAGGTTTCAGAAATGTTGAGGTAACTTGCCTACCAGGACCACTTCTCCAGCAACCTCATGCTTTGAAAAGTAAGGAAAGATCCTCCTGCTTAACCATTTGAGAACGCCTAATCTCCAACATCACAGATCATGAGAAAACTCCATTGATGAGGTAAATCTGGCTCATGACTTCATTCAGTGTTTCTTTGTGGACTATTAGAACAGCCCAGTGACCTCCTAGGACTACTGTTAGAAATGGATGAAGAATCTGACGCTTCTTGAGAAACACTTCTCAAAATATTTCACATTAAAGCTCTAAGAAAAAAACAGAAGCAGAAACTTATAAAAATACATCTTTTAATAAACATCAAGAAGTACAGTGCACTTTTATTGAGGTTTTACATTGCAGTTTACAGTAAACATACTATCCATTATAGTGTATATGTACAAGTAAAGTAAACTCAGTTTTGTTTTTGTTTCTCTCATGGCTGGATAAACCAAATCTGGTGCATCATACCACATTTAAGTTTGTTTTCCAAACTGACTTCTATAAAAGGCCTTTAATGTTAATAGGCTTTTAACAACAACAACCAAGTTATCACCTCCATCACAATGATAGCCTGATGAGTCCTCAAAAATGACTAAAAAGAATGGTTTCCTTTGATGGCTTTAAAAAATACCTACTGATGGCAAATCACAAACACTAAAGAAACAAGAGAATAAAGAAACAGCTGTTTCTTTTGCCTAGTGAATCAATAAATACTAATTTGAGGCTACAGATTATGAGGCCAAAAGATTCTTGTAGGAAAGCTTAATGTTTACATTTATAATCCTTTAGACTAAAAACTGTCTAGTATCTTTATGGCTCAGTCTGTATTTCTTTAACATTGTTTATACAAAAACCAAGGAAATGGTGGAATTCTTGATCCTTCTGGACAAAAGTTCAATGAGACAGGGGACTGAAATTAACTAGCAAAGGGGAAAGATTAATCTCAAAATTCCACCTGCCATTGTCTTGGAATGATCAAGACCTGGCTATATCCAAGAAGAATGAAAGGATCAGAACTGAAAGAAGCCACCAGCTGTGGTGGCTCATGCCTACAGTCCCAGCTATTTGGGAGGCTGAGGTGGGAAGATCACTTGAATCAGGAGTTCAAGGCTGCAGTGACCTACGATCATGCCACTAAACTCCAGCCTGAGAGACAGAGTGAGATCCTGTATCTAAAAAACAAACAAACAAACAAACAAACAAAAAAGAACTAAAAGGAATCAGAAGCCAAAACTAAAAACCCATAGTCTCGCATACTTTCTACTGATGGCATTTAAAAATTATACAACTAGATTTGCTATATACATTAACTAGTACTGGAATTAGAAGAAAAAAAAGGTACCAACTATATCATCTACACAAATGCCAGAATCATACTCATATTTGCAAAAAGGCATAATAATCCGTTTACCATACAACTGTTTGTAAAATCTGTAATGGTTAATAAAACAAAATCCTTAGGAACACAGTGCTAAGCAAATTACACTAATTAAATAAGCAGCTCAAATTCATATGGCTAAAGACCAATATCCCTGAATTTCTAAGTGTTCATCTCAGTTTTAACATGGTTTTATCCAATTGTTACCTCACCAGAAGAGATTTTAAAAACTCCTCCCTCCTTAATACATCACCATACTTTCAGAGGTGGAAAGGAAACAATTTCTCTACCAGTTTTGCCCATTCTCACGAATCTGGTAAAAGTGTTATTACAACATCTACCCTAAGATAGGTGCCCTAAGGATCCAATGGATTTGAAATAACTGAATTGCTAGGTCCAGAATATTGGTGTTGTACAATTATTGAGCCTGCCAGGAATTCATGTCTCTGGATAAATATATTCCTGGATCAATGATTGAAAAGTTAAGGCCAGCTGCCAATGAAGTCAGACTGTTCCCTGTCAAGTAACAGTCTGATCTTCTCTATTAGATTAAAATGTCTTAGTGGATGGGACCAGGTCTTATACTTTTCAAGTATCCTCTGTAGCACCTACTAAAGTGTTGGGCACAGATATACGCTCAAGGAAATTATCAGTGATACGAGCAAGGAAATGAATCAAGGGTGAATGTGGTCATGGTAAAGCTGCACCTTTCTGCATCCATCATTCAAAAGGCAGTCAACATAGTCAATCTCTGATGCAGTCACTGAAGAACAGACTCTTGTCCCCTACACTTATGCCTGAAAGAGAACCATACCGGCCCTTTTTACTTACTTCTCTTAGTCACTAACGGATTGTGTATGGACATAAGTACAGCTTGGTGAATGATGCCTGGGAACCGATTTCTGCCTCAAGGAAACATGAACCTGTCATATGGCACATTTTAACTCCAATAATACAATTCATGGAATCATTAACTTTAAAAGTGTGTTAAATGTTATACATAAGTAGCAGATATTTAGAATGTTATTCTGACATCATTTAAAATGCATTTTATTTCTAAACACTTGCATGAGGTAGAAGGAACTCACAAAAGAAAGTAATCTTCAACCTACTGGCACCTATTCATACAATTAGCCCCGAGAGAAAAGTTAGTCTTAAACTGATAGATTATTGACTATTGTTAAAATATCACCCCCTTATCTGAAAGAAATTTCTTATATTTAAAATTGCCTTTTTTCCAGTTTAAGGTATATAGAAAAAGGACAATACACACTCTGAAATATTTATAAAGATTGTATACAACAGCTTCTCTGAGCCATCATAATTCTTTAACATGTTGCTCTAAATCACCTCAACTGTGACCAAGGTCCTTTCTACTTTGAAGAATTGATCACATATTAATATGAAGGCTAAAAATCCTTCCAGTAAAAGATAAATGATTCACATTTAAAATAATATACTTCTCATAAAAACCAGCAGCAATTCATTCTACCTCGACATAAAAATTTGGCTTCACTGACTGGTCAGAAACAAAGGAAAATGTACATAGGGCCAAAGAGCTCCTTGCACAAGAGTCATGTGAGGCTACACGTTTTCTCTAACAATTAACTATTTCCCCATTAGGTGGCGTGTGAAACTACTGGAATGTCAATTTCAATAGCAGAGAGGCGGGAGCGTGCTGAATAGGGTTGTGAGTAAGTATGCATACTAGGAGGATGGGAGTACAGTGGTTGCCAGAAAGGAGAAGGCAAAGATTTGCATGCACAATACCAAATAAACAGTAGAAGGGAAGTCATAAACAGGCCCCCAGCACTGGCAATAGTGACATACACTGCATAGTCAAATGCAAAGACTGGCTCGAACTTCTTGTTCAGATGGATGTTATAAAAGAAGACCCAGATGCATGGGCAGAGGCTCACAGTACCTGCCAGGAAAAACAGCAGACCGGCCACGAGGTGGCAACCTGCACTATTGACCAGACATTTGGCCAGTTTGATGTTGGGGACAGAGGACCTGAAGGCAGTGTTGCACATTCCAATCAGGCAAAGCAGCAGGGCACCCATCGCAATCAGGATGCTGAGGGGCAGGGCAAACTGGAGGACACGTAAGTCCAGCTGGTCAACTGATGAGTACCAAGTAGTGTCGTACATCAGGCAGTCACTGCTCCCGTCGTACCGAGCACATTTTACCCAAAGGCCTGTGTAAACAGTGAGGTTCTTCTCGTTTCTGTTGAACGTGATCAATCGTAATTTTCTCCAGTTGGGAAGCAGAGTCCCTGCAAAGAGGCCTGCTACCGAGGCGATTCCACAAAGGAAGGACAGGACTGTGGCTGCGTGGACATCCCGACAGCCCATGGCAGGCAGGCGTGTGCAGTACTGTCAGACTAAGGGGTGACACACAAGAGGACAAATCATGAGGGGCAATAAAACAGCAGGAAACATGGTTCCAACTGGCAACACATCTAGTGATGAAATGTCAATGCAAAGAGGAAAACTCTTGTTCTCCCTCTCTGTATAATGTAAATGCATACAAATGCACATGTGTGTGACCTCACAGCACAGGTACACACATGTTTGGCTATCACTGACTAGGTCATGGAACAACTAAAATCTTTAGCTGTCAGTATTTTTCTTCATAGTTCATTAGAGGAACAACAAAATAATGTCAAATTCTTTTAACATCACACCTTAAATTCTTGGTTATCAATAATCATTCTTTCAACACATGTATATGAAGAACTTTTTAAGTGTCAGGCACTCACATACAGCAAGGGCCAGAGTACTCATTAACAAACACCACAAATTCAGCCTCAAATGTTCATGCAACAGAGATGAAGGCAGCTCACAAAAGGCTAAGGTGTGGGAAAATAAGCACTACAGTACAGCAGTGCTTGAGGGCTGACTCAGAGGCAAACTGCATGGACTCTAATCCCTATCTCCTTACTTATTAGCCAAGTGACCTTGGGCCAGCTACAGAACTTCCCTGTGCCTCATTTTCCTCATCTGTAAAATGGAAAAAACAAGGGCCTAGCTCACAGAGTTGTTCTATGGATTCAGTGAGGTAATATAATATCAAGTGATTAAAACACATTTGGAATACTGTAAGTGCTATGCCAAGTGCTAACTGCTTCTTAGAACTCAGTGACCAACTCAATGCTTGGCACACCAGAGCAGTTCAAAGAACATTTGTTGAATGAATGTTAAATAAGAAAAAGCAAATTGATCTTATTCGTGTGTACTAAGCACAGTGGGAAATTACAAAAAGTAAATGGACTCATCTCCAATGAGTGAGTCAAATGAAAACATGAGAACAAAGGTCACTGAAATTATTCCATCCAACTACTTCCTGGCCGATTCAAGATGACCCAGTGCTTTTTAGGGAAATCGACAGCACTGGTTGGTTATTACACTATTAACTGTTCATATAAGATGAATGCAAAGATTTTTGAAGTAACTTATCTCTTTTAATGCTATTATAAGAAAAATTATAGCCAGGCCTTTCTCTCATCTCAAATTAAAAGGCTACCTTCTTCTTCTATATATAACAAACTATAAAGACCAGGATCTTATTCAGCTTTAACTTCTGCAAGGGTTTGAAACTCACTCTCAAAACACCATTCAAATGTATTTTCTCTGCCTTCTATAATGCCCCCTATGAGGCAACAGAGGTAGCCTCTGTTGGTAGAGCCTCTGGTAGAGGTAGCCTCTACCAACTAATGAGGTAGCATATTTATTTTTTTTGGTCAAAGGATGATAAAGGGGTAAAGTTGAGAATAATTTGGCTTAGGATGTGATTTTCATATGTATTCCTGTGGGAGGGTAAAATGTTTTTTAGAAAACAATGTTATTTGTACATTTAATCAAATTATATAATCTAGGACCAATTTTATTGGCAAAAAATATGCTTGCATATATATACACATACACACAGTATATATAAGTGTACAATATAAAACCAGAGTTTCAGCACTTGAGGACTTTTTTTAGAAGTCCTCAAGTTAAACATGGTCAGTTCTATAAGTTTTTCCATTAATATTAGTTTACCACTTGTTCATTATGTTTCCTTTTGTCAGTATTATCAGAAGTAACAATTATTTAGGAAAATTTTACAGGTGAAAAAGCTTAAAGAAATTATAGTCTTAATTTATTTTTTTCATGCAATTTGGGGAAAAACTATCTTGTTTAATTTTAACAAGTGAACACCTTGGTCCACACATGGGAACTCTAGTGCAGATTTGAGAATGTTTACATAGGAAAGGGCTACTAAGGATGCCAAACTCCAGAATTCAGCTCCCTGTTGGTTTGTGCCCATTCACCTGTCTGTCTCCCCATATACTGCCAGCAAATTGCACGGTGCCTGGCATACAAGTTGTTCTAAGATTATTTAAATAAATGAGTAGTGCGCTCTGTACAAAGACACAGTAACTCACAAAGGTGGACCATTGGTAATGGAGAACTAGAGGAGGAAATAGCTATTACTAAGCAACAGTCATTCAACATGTATTTATGTTGTGCTGAATGTCTAGCATATGCAAAACATTCTGTTAGGCCCTGGGAGGACATCGAGATCACCAAGATCTGGACCTTGCTCCCACTGTGTTTACAATCAGACTTATGGAAAGAACAGGCTGTTTTGTGCAAACTAAAAAGTCTTGACATGAAGCAAATGTACAAATAAAGTATATACTACATATAAAGTGATTTTTGTTAGGTGTTAAGCAAAGTGAATAAGGTACCTCTTCATAAAAATTTATCATCCAGAGTTAGAGAAAGACTGAGCTATTAAGGAGAATAAGGATTTGATTAAAATTGTTAAGACTTAAGAAAAAGATTCTGCCGTGTACTGAAAAATGGTTAATTTAAGATGGTAAAATTTATGTTATGTGTATTTTACCATAGTAAAAAATGGAAAAAAGTATAAAGTACTTTCAACATTATTTTCCTACCGCAGCACGTTATTAATCTAGTCACAATTAGTTAAGTCAAAAAAGAAGCTCAAAATTTTTGTCATGAAAAAATTTTTAAAAATTGGTACCATATTGTTAGTTCCAATCTGTACATAAGTATCTAATATATAGTTACCATTTGCTCACATGTTTTTATTGGGTAAATTTTAGAATCACAAAAATTAATCAATTATTTTATAATTTAATAGAATCATGTGATATGTAATTATTAAATTAATAATTTAATTAAAATTTAACTACTCAATGGTATGTATATTTTCAATAAGTAATGTATACACTTATGTAAGGTCTTTCTTTTTCCCTATATATTTGTTCTGTTTATAATGAAATGCAATTTCATAACTGTTGTATGTGGTAGTAAAAAAATAAGTTATATTTCTATGAAAAAAAAAAGGTTCTGTTTCTTGCAAAGCTTCAGAACTCCAAATAACTCAAAGTCCTAACCCAATCACAATTCCTTCTTGTCCTCAGAGGTAGGTTGGAATTTCAATGTAATTGAGATTTCTCCAATCAAGCTGCCCTGTACCACTGATTCCTACAATGCAAATGGAATGAGAAACAAAGATAAGGATGTATAACTTCATTATTAATAAATTCTGTAATTCTTTGCCTATAGACCAGGGGTCCTCAAACTTTTTAAACAGGGGGTCAGTTCACTGTCCCTCAGACTGTTGGAGGACCGGACTATAGTTTAAAAAAAACGATGAACAAATTCCTGTGCACACTGCACATATCTTATTTTGAAGTAAAAAACAAACGGGGAAAAACACCCACATGTGGCCCTCGGGCCATAGTTTAAGGACGCCTGCTATAGACTATCAAATGACATTAAGGAACAGAGGTGGGTCAATATTTATTTCAGTATTAAGTACATTTAACTAGATCCTGAATCAAATCAATACAAGTGTTATATCAATCCTCTAAACTTGCTTTTGATGAAGCATTCTTAGTTCAGATCTCAGAGACTGACTGAAAGTCCTACTTAGAGTCAACAAAGATACCATGGCACTTTTCAGAGGGGAAATACTATTAACCTCAATTCTTTTTTTTGTTAGTAAACTTTTTTTTTATTTCAGCATATTATGGGGGTACAGATTTTAAGATTTCAATAAATGCCCGTTCCCCCCTAACCTCAATTCTTAGGCTAAATTTCAACCTTGGTGCTGGCATTATGTTTAGCTCCTTATAAATTCCTTTGGCTGCTTTGCCTTTTATGTCCTGTTCTTAATTCCACATACCTATGATTTGATAAGTCATGTATCCCTTGAGAGTGATAAAGTAACATTTTATAGTATAGCTAAGGGAAATAACATGTTTAATGTTTTAAAACTGAAAGATAATGCTGACTTCCAGATCAGAATTTGTTCACGCTTGGGGGTAAAAAGACTTCTACTCCTGTGTAAGTCAATTATACTGAATCCAGAATTTTTTTCAAATGCAAATCTGACCCTGTCACTCCATTTCTTATCATTCAATTAACTTCCCATTTCCCACAGAATAAAGTTTGTAAATTTTCAAATCCTCCTCATGGCTTATACTATCTGATTCCTGCCAAACTCTTAACCTCCTTATGTGCCATTCTCTCACCTTACTACAGTCTATGTAGCCATACCACTCTTAACTTCCCAAATTTTCCACTTTCTAATTTGGATAAATATTGACTGCTACACACACACACATAAACCAGAAACTTTTCCTTGGGGCCACAGTGTTTTATCACAAAAATAGAATAAAAACTTTGAATGTAATTTAAAGGTAAACATAAATAGAAAAATGAAATTTATTGAGTTCTATTCATTTAATTCACATTTTCAGAATTAAATTATCACTATTAATTGTAACAATAAGAACATCAGATTTTATATTTGCTTCACACAGCCCTGGGGTCAAAACTAGAGTGAGTTAAATACAACTCTCATGACAGTTAATGTGTTAAGGGCTTTCCCTCATGCTGTTCTTTCTCCTAGAACTTTTCTAATCCCAATCTGTTCTTTGCTTAGCTAATAGTCTTTAGTCATCTTTTTAGTTTCCAGAAAGGGTCTCCCTAAACCATCCCTCTACCCCTGGTTATATGCTCTGGTAGCACCTCTGCACTTTTTTTTGGTAGTAGTGACCATTCTTATAATTCCTTGTTTAGTGTTTTTCTTTCCCATCAAACTGAGTTCCAGGTCAAAAATCCCAGAATAGAGAGATCTTTGGATATATTCAATATGTCCAATACCGACACATAAAAGGCACTCAATTATTTGTTAAATGAATGAACAAACAAATGGAGGGTCTGATATGACTACAGTCAGGATACAGAGAGAAAGTTAAAAATTTAGTATCCATTCCATTCATTTAATTTGGGGCAATTCACACCATCCTGTGTTCTGAAGCATTCAGGCTGCTTCTAGACCGTGCCCCCGCTTTCCATTCCTTATTGGTCAAAAGTTTTTCTTCCCCCAGAAACTTGTGATCAGGAAAGATGAGGCCATTCCCAGGTACTTACATAAAGACTGTGCTTCTAGAAATACGAATCTAAGTTTGGCAATACTGGTTCACTTCAACAGTGGTTAGAAAGTCAATTATTCCTGTGTTGATTCTTCTGTTCTCAATTTATTAGGTATATTATGAATTTGATGTGCTTTTCTTAGTTAAGAGTGATTAATACCAAATTAATTTGTTTATCAAAACTAAACAATTATACTTGTATATACATTTTTAACAGAAATGGGAAAAAATACACATCTTTTTGCCAGATGAGAGCCCCTAATTAGGGACTGTGGGAAATGTGTAAGGCTAAGAACACTTTAACAAATGTGACAAATAGTCACGAACACTAGCTGGGTGACAGCTTCGAGCTGGGTCACATATACAGATGAGTACGCTTGTTGTTTCCATCTGGAAGGCAGCTTGGTATTGTTGTCCAGGAGACCAAAGGCCCAAATACCAGTCATAAACTATCATTTACAAATTGGACAAGTCACATATGTCCTCTGAACCTCAAATTTCTATAAAATGTCCCAGAAGATAGTTGTGAGATCATAAATAGCAAAGCCCTTTTTAAACCAGAATACGGTCAGAAATTTAAGTTGTAATGATTATTAGTAGGGTTATTTACTTTCTTCAACTAGAAGCATGTTTTTCTTCTGGACTCTGAGCAAACAACCACAGATGATTACAGCCATAAAACAAGAATGATAGAGCATTCTCTTTGGAGTATTTTCTGACCAAATCTAGACCCTGTTTCAAAATAACCATTTCATATTTGTCATTTGACTATCTGTTCCACAGTGACTTTCAGAGAAGGAGATGGATGAAATTCAATACATAATTAAATGTTATCAAACACATCATTTAAAATAAAAATATTTTTTAAATGATATATTTAATTTTGAACAGGATTCAAAGAAGGCTGGAGCAGGAATACTGGCTAAGAGCTTTAGGAATTCATAGATCCATTGTTATTTTTTCAAGGACAACTCTGAAGAATAGCCATAAGAGAACACATGTCTAATAGCAGTTAATTTTTTTTGATTTTTGGTACAGGGTCTCACTCTGTTGCCCTGGGTACAGCACAGTGGTGTCATCATAATTCACTGCAACCTCAAACTCCTGGGCTCAAGCAATCCTTCTGCCTCAGCATCCTGCTCACTAGGACTACAGGTGCATGCCACCACACCTAATTATTCTATTTTTGGTAGAGACAGGGTCTCACTCTTTCTCATGCTGGTCTCAAACTCCTGACCTCAAGTGAACTTCCCACCTCAGCCTCCCAGAGTCCTAGGATTACAGGTGTGAGCCACCACACCCAGCCCCATTAATTCTTGATGTTGTGTAACACTGGCAGTCCCTTCTACCTACAATTTAGGTTTTCTTAGAAATTTTAAGTCATCAATCATTCCACTTGCAAGGAAGGTCTTTCCTATACCTTTGTTTTGTGGAAGTAGAGAAAAAAAGTATCACTATTGGCTGATATATGGTAATAAGAGGAAGGGAAATGAGATATAATCAAAGATGTACTTACCCTCTGAGGTACCTGATAGTTCTAAAATAGTTTTAATCAACTTAGAAGAAACATATACAAATCTGAATATACAGAGTAGTGATGATCTGGGCCTAAAGAAATAGGAAAAAGGCTCCAAATTAATATACTACTTCCATAAAAACTCAATGTAAATTCACATGGAATTAGAATAAGTAACAATCATCCAAAACCAGTGAAATGTTATACCCACAAAGATAGCTTATTCTTAAGTTTATGCATTATTTATATACAAGACACAAAAGAAAAAAATTCTCATTTTGTGACTTAAGAAGATAAGAGAAATAAGAATAAAAAAATCACTTTACTGTCTTGGCAATATATGATTTTTTTTTTTTTGGAAACGGTCTTGCTGTGTCACCCAGGCTAGGTAGGGTACAGTGGTAGGTTTCATAGCTCACTGCAGCCTTGAACTCCTTGGCTCAAGTGATCCTCCTGCCTCAGCCTTCTGAGTAGCTGGGGGACTACAGGTGCATGCCACCACCCCTGGCTAATGTTTATTTTTGTATCTTTGTAGAGATGGGATCTCTCTATGCTGGTCTCAAACTCCTGACCTCAAGTAATCCTTCCACCTTGGCCTCCCGAAGTGCTGGGATTACAGGCATGAACATGGTGCCCAGCCTTAATGATTTTTTTTTTTTTGAGACAGAGTCTCGCTTTGTTGTCCAGGCTAGAGTGAGTGCCATGGCGTCAGCCTAGCTCACAGCAACCTCAAACTCCTGGGCTCAAGCAATCCTTCTGCCTCAGCCTCCTGAGTAGCTGGGACTACAGGCATGCGCCGCCATGCCCGGCTAATTTTTTCTATATATTAGTTGGCCAATTAATTTCTTTCTATTTATAGTAGAGACGGGGTCTCGCTCCTGCTCAGGCTGGTTTCAAACTCCTGACCTCGAGCAATCCACCTGCCTCGGCCTCCCAGAGTGCTAGGATTACAGGCGTGAGCCACCGTGCCTGGCCCCTTACTGAATTTTTTAGATCCTTGATGACAGGGAAAGAATAAGGAGGGTGAAGAAACAAGGTGCAGTTGTCTTGGAAGTAAAAGAAATTTACTGTATCTTTTATACTTTTTAAAAGGATAATGGCAACAAAACCAGGTGATGTTGATCTGCACTGTGCATACTAAAATTTGCAACTAAGGCCGAGGCGGGCAGATCGTTTGAGCTCAGGAGTTCAAGACTAGCCTGAGCAAGAGTGAGACCCCGCCTCTACCAAAAACAGGAAAAATTAGCCAGGCACAGTGGTGCATCCCTGTAGTCCCAGCTACTTGGGAGGCTGAGGCAGAAGTATGGCTTGAGCCCAGGAGTTTGAGGTTGCTGTGAGCTAGGCTAATAACCACGGCACTCTAGCTGGGGCAACAGAGACTCTGTCTCAAAAAAAAAAAAAAAATTGCAGCTAGAATGCTTTTTTTGAGTTTATAGTTCCACCAATGGCCCAACCCACAATTTTAAGATACTTCCATATATCTACTTTAAACATCAGCTACTTCCTCTTCAAATATTTCTTTTAGAGACAAAGTCTTGCTGTGTCCCCCAGGCTGGAGTGCAACAGCCCAATCACAGCTCAGTGTAACCTCAAATCCTGGCCTCCAGTGATCCTCCCACCTCAGTGGCTGGGACTTCAGGCCTAGCATTACACCCAGCTAATTTTTTTTCTAGAGAAGGGATCTTGCTATGTTGCCCAGGCTAGTCTTGAACTCCTGTCCTCAAGTAATCCTGCCTTGGCCTCCAAAAGTGCTGGGATTACAGACATGAGCCACCTCCCCAGCTTTCCAAATACTATTTATCTCAAGCAGGAAGGATGAGAATGAAAACTTGTAAATGCCTGAGTGCTTCCCAGATTGAGGCATTCATCACTAGCGCTATTATGATCATTATGTAGAATAGTGTCAGCAACAGTCTACACAAGATTTCAATAAAGTTTTTCCACCCAAATGTATGTTTCTTGAGTTAGTATCAAGCACAATTGCTCACTCCAAAGTCAGCGGAAACAGTCTTACAATTAATAACACAGAACAGAATCCCCGGGCAATCATTTTAAGAGGGGTTACCAAGTCTGGCCTTTCTCTAACGTGTTGACATTCCTCTCCAAGAACTGAACACAGAATCTGGGCTTCAGAGGAAAGGCAAATCAAGCTTCCAGGGCAATCCGCTTCTTGCTTTCCCCCCATCCCCCCCTCGCCCCGGCTCCCACCCTCCCACCAATTCTCTCCTCCTCTATCCCTTGTAGCTGTGTCTGTAGGAGCAACACAGCTGGCAGGAAGGGAAAAAAAGAAAAAAAAATAAAGCCCTCCTGGGTAGAGCCAATGGAAAGAGACTCCAACAGCGACTGTTGACGCTCTCAGCACAAGCCCATCCCTGCAACACTGAGTGGGTTTGAACCGCAAGCAGGTCATCATTACACAACCAGCATCAGCTGGTTATTCAAAAATAGCAACTTGCAGCTCCACGCATACCTAGGCCAGCCAACCTCCCAGCCCTTAAACTGCTCCAGCAACAAACCTCGACATTTCCATACTCCTGTGTAAAAAATAATTTTGTAAAGCTTTATCCAATACCTCCTCACTCAATTTTCACGTCCACAAACGTAGTCAGCGTTTTTCGATGTCCCTGATTCCTCTCAATTTAGCTATTTTACATAAAACCCTCAACTTCTTATGTAAAAGACACAGAAAAGGGAACATTCTTGACCACACCTACCTGTTTCTCACACGCAGAGCATTTCACTCGCCCACACTGAGGAGCCTCTTGGAGCGTCTCCTTCTCAGCGTCCCCGGAAGTGCGTTCCCAGCAAGCCGCACCGGAGGCTTCTGGGAGCGAAGCCCGGCTCTCCCGCGACCCTAAACAAGAATGTCCTGGAAGTCTGGGACTACAATTCCCAGAAGCCACTGGGCCGCCGGCAACATCCTGCGACTGACCATCGCCTCCCTTTTCTCTTTCCCTCGCCTCCGCCTCCGCGGATTCCACTCTCACCTTCTGTTACGTCTAGATTGGGGTCGTAGGTTAAAAAATAAAAATAAAAAAAGCAATACCGAACAAAACTAAAAATAATTTTGAGTTGGGTACCCAGATAAATATTTCCTGTTAAATCTGACTTGCCCATTAGAAGGAAGGTTGTTATCAAAAATTCTGAAATCTGGACTTTCCCCACCTCAAAGTGTTTACCTTGGCACAAAGTGAAAAGGAGTTCAAACTTTATAACCAAACAGCCTAGGGGCTCTGCTACATATTGGTTGGGTGGCCCTGGGCAAGTGACCTATGTATGAGGTTATCTGTAAAAATGGGTAATAAGATTATCTACATCATATTTGCCTTGAAAACTGAGGGACTTAATATAAAGTACAGAGCATACAGCTAACTAGTAGACATTTGAACTAACTTTACTTTCCCACACAGTTTCAACCTCTGTTGGTTTCCCTTAAATGTGAAGTCATGTGTTACTATCTGTATTAACTAAAGGATTGAGAAGGCCTGTATAGCACTGATCTGATTTTTTTTTAATTAAGGATGCTAAAATGTCACACCTACTACTTTGAAATTATCACACACCCACACACAAATGAAGATAAAGCATGGTAAATGTGGGTAACTGTTGGATTTAGAAAGAGTAAATATATGAGTATTCATTGTACTAGTCCTTCAAATTCTCAGTAGTTTTGAAATTTTTCAAAATTAAAAGGAGAAAAATTATAGTTTACATGAAAGTAAAAGATGGCACACTCCCCTAACCCACTCTGCCCCCGTATAACCTTTGGCAAGATGAGTACCCCTTTGTGCTTCATCTGTAGTAAGAGTATGTCTACATCAGAAAATTATGATGAGGATTAAATGAGTTACTATATAGAGAGAAGTTTACAATAGTGTCTGACACCAATGACTATATGTTTGTTGTTAGCATTTTCTATTGTGTGTTGCTCTAGTAACAATGAAACTATTTGCCAGTGGTTAAAACAGGGCGGGGTGGGGTGCTGCTGTCTATCCACTGCTACCCTCTTCTCATTTGCCATACTGCTTCAGAAGACTGACGAGGCTATCTAATGCCAGAAGCAACCCAATCCCAAATGTAATAATAAGGAAGAAAGATAGCACTTGGTGGTAAGAAGATCTCTGGGCACAGATAGGCTGGGCTCCAGGACAGCTCTGGCAATAGCAGGTGGATGATGGCAATGTTACACACGATAATAAAGTCTTTGCTCTGATCTTCAGTTTTATCGTTTATAAAACTGAATTGAATAAAATAACTGTGTACAAAATCATAACTTATTTTCTGATCATTGATGAATACTACCTGGTTAGCAGACTTTAGCTGAGGTGTACATGCAATTCATTATAATAATTTTTAAAAATCATAGCACAAAAAGGGAAGACAACCCTATCCCTGGACTTATTAATCAATTTAGAGGTTTATGCTTAGCCTGCCTTTGGTGCCCAGGAACCTCTCAAGTCAGAGGCTCCAAAATCAAATGGGATTTAGCAGCTGAGAAAAATCCCGTTTAACTTAAATGGACACAACTGCAGCAGGTGTCTCCTGGGGACACTAGTCCCTGTGGCTTCCCGGCAGACTCACAACCTAAACTGAGGCAAGAAGGGGAGAGGCCTCTATAGCATCTGAAGGACATCCCTCGAGTTCTGCTTGCTGGAGAAACCTTGGCTGCTGGAGCTGTGCCCTCACAGGCCACCCAGAATCCCCACTGGAGCTCACTCTCTAGTATACAGGATCTCAAAAGTCAGTCCCTGCCTGCGGCCTGAGAGCATTGAGAGCTTTGAGGCCAACATGTGCATAGATAAATGTAGAAGGGGTAGAGACTCCTTTCTTTGAGAGACCATCATTAATTCTGAAGTCATGACTTTCCTATTGTTTTGTGTGTTGATATGACCTTTAATGAAATATCAGGTATGTAGAGGAGTTGAGTTGTTTTGGAAAACACCCTTTTACTTGGCAAAATAGCTAGCAACCCTTTGTGATGACCTCTCTCTCTCTCTCTCTCTCTCTCTCTCTCTCTCTCTCATCCTGAAACCCAAAAGACTTCAAAGGAAAAGACACAAAAACAGACCAAGTTCCCAAAGTGCTGCAGGAGCTGCCGTAGCTGCCCAGACCTGGCACAGTGAGGTCACAGAAAAAGGGTGTGGTTACCTTCACCTGGGAAAACTTCACAAGGGAGCTGATGGTTTTGTGCTAAGTCTTGAACCATCGGGCCTCCTGCTTGGCAGATGGGGGCAGTGGAGATAGGAGGGTGAGGAATGGAGGTGGAGACATGAGGGAAGGATATGCCAGCCTGGCGACTTTGGGATGTTGCAATCAGAGTGTATTGCTGGAGAGGGGCAGTGTCAGATCATGAAGCCCGAGAAGCCAGTGGAGGCCACATAATGGCAGGTCTTTGGGTGACAAGAAGCTAAGGCCAAGGAACCCCAGGCTCTACAATAATGCCTGCAGATTGCAATGTTTACTGCTTTGGGTATGAAATTCCAAACTGGACGTAAGGAGGCAGGTGAGTCAGGAGCTAACCCAGTGACCCAAGGCCCGGAGGCACCTAAGCTGGCTTTTCCCAGATGGCAGGAAGGGATTCTGGGGCCAAGGCACCTAAGGTGACCTTCCAGTAGATGGCAAGGAGACACTGTGGGGGAGCAGGCACCTAACCTGGACTTCCCCAGATGGCTAGGGTGGGGGTAGAATCTGAGCCCCCGAGGCACCTAAGCTGGCATTCACCAGAGTGGAGGGGGGGGACTCTGGGACCAAGGCACCTAAGGTGGCCTTTCCCTAGATGGTAGGGGGAGACTCTGGAGGCCCAGGATCCTAAGGTACAATTACCCAGAAGTCAGAAGGGGGGAATCTAGGACCTTAAGGTAACCATCCCAAGACCACTGGGAGGGGCTGTGGGGTCCTCAGACAACTAAACTGGCATTCCCAGACTCGGGGGGTGGGATTACGGGAGCCAAGTGACCTAACCTGGCCTTCCCCACATGGCAGCTGGGGACACAGAGGGCCTGATGAACCTAAACTGGACTTCCCCAAGTGGCGGCAGGGGACTCTGTAGCTGCATGCACCTATACCAGCCTTACTCAGATGGTGAAAGTTTGCTCTGAATGCTGGATGAGCCTAAGCTGGACTTCCTGAAGTGGAGGCACGGGAGTCTTGGAGCCGGATGAACGTAAGCTTGTCTTCTCTAGATGGCGGCTGGGGACTGTGAGGATAGATGTACCTAAGCTGGACTTCCCTAGAGGGTAGCAGGGGACTCTGAGGGCCAGATGGACCTAGGATCAACTTCCCCAATTGGCGGCGGGGGACTCTGAGGCTGAGATGCACCTAAGCTGGACATACACAGAAGGCAGCCGGGGACTCTGAGAACCAGGTGCACACCAGGTGTCCAGCCGGACATCCCCAAGTGGCACGGGGGAGTCCTGCAGCTGAATGCACCTATATGGGCCTTACTCAGAAGGTGGCAGTTTACTCTGAAGGCTGGAGGCACCAAAGCTGGACTTCCTGAAGCGGCAGCCCAGGAGGTTTGCAGCCGAATGCACATAAGCTGGCCTTCCCCAGATGGCTCCTGGGGACTGTCAAGCCTGATGCACCTAAGCAGGACTTCCAGAAGTGACTGCCTGGGAGTTTACAGCCAAATGCACCTTAGCAGGCCTTGTCTAGGGGCAGCAGGAAACGATTAGGGTGGAATGGAGGTAATCAAGACTTCTCCAACTATCTGCGGGTGACTCTGAGGGCCAGATGCACCTAAGCTGGACATGCCAAAGTGGCAGTGTGGGACACTCAGGCCAGATACATCTAAGCTAGACCACCCCAAGAGGCGGCTGGGGAGCCTTACAGTGAGATGCACCTAAGCTGGACATCCCCAAGTAGCGCGGCAGGAACTCTTCCAGCTGGTTGCACATATGTGGGCCTAACTCAGAAGGTGGCAGTTTCTTCCGAAGGCCAGATGCACCTAAGCTAGACTTCCCAAAGTGGCGCCCTGGGAGTCTGGCAGGCAGGTGCACATAAGCTGGCCTTCTCCAGATGTCAGCTGAGGACTGTAAGGCCTGATGCACCTAAGCTTGACTTCCCCAGGGGGAAGCGAGGGACTCTGAGAGCCAGAGGGACCTAGGATCAACTTCCCAATTGACAGCAGGCAATCTGAGGCACAGGTGGACATAAGCTGGACCACCCCAAGTGGCAGTGAGGGAGTCTTGCAGCCAGACGCACCTAAGCTGGACTTCCCCAGAGGACTGGGGGTGGGAACTCTGACGGCCAGATGCACCTAAGATGGACATCCCCCAGTGGTGGTGAGGGACTCTTGCAGCTGGATGCACATATACTGGCCTAACTCAGAAGGTGGCAGTGTACTCTCAAAGCCAGATGCCCCTAAGCTAGACTTCCCAAAGTGGCGGCATGGGAGTCTTGCAGCCAAATGAACATAAGCTGGCCTTCCCCAGATGGCGGCTGGGGACTGTGAGGCCGGATGCACATAAGCTAAACTACCCCAGAGTGTGGCGGAGGACTCTGAGGGCCAGATGAACCTAGGATCAATTTCCCCAAGTGGCTCAGGGGACTCTGAGGCCCAGATGCTACTAAGGTGCACCACCGCATGTGACGATGGGGAGGTCTTGCAAACAGATGTACTTAAGCTGGACATACCCAGAGGAAAGACAGGCACTCTGAGGGCCAGATGCGCCTAAGCTGGACATACTCAAGTGGCAGTGGGAGACTCTTGAGACTCGATGGACCTATATAGGCCTTCCTCAGAATGTGGCAGTTTACTCTGAAGTCCCAGTGCCCCGAAGCTGGACTTTCCTAGACGGTGGCAGGGGACTCTGTGGGCAAGATGGACGTAGGATGGAGTACCGAGTTGGTGGCAGGAGACTCTCAGTCCCAGATGCATCTAAACTAGACCACATCGAGTGTCTGC